TTCTTTCCAGCTCCCATTTTTCTTTTTCAACATTAGATTCTTCCATCTTTTGGTCTCTGACTTCAAGTTCAGCAATCAACTGGTTCATTTCAGATTCAAATCCCTTGAACATGATATTTTTCTCGCCTTCAAATTTATCAAAGATGTCATTCTTCATCTCTTCTAAATCTTTGGCTCGATCCCTTTCTCTTTGCATTTCATTCATGATCTCGCGGTGTTCAGCCTTGTGTTTTATAATTCGTTCTCTTCTGTCGACCTCGAAATCTTCCATTTTTTGCTTTCCTTTTTCCAGGCTTTTGAGTAGACGGCTATTCTTTCCTTTCAGATCTTCAACTCGTCTTTTCTCAATGTTCAATTCTCTGGTTATCTGTATCGTCGATTGGCTGGGTCCTGATGCTTTTCGGGATTTATATAACTCCTGGTAATTTTTCTGTAAGGCTCTGTACTCATCCTCACCTTTTTCTTTATCTTTTCTCAACATTGCACATTGTGATGAATGAAAGTCAATGTCAACCCCCAACATAGCTTTATCTTGTCTCATTTGCTCTAACTCTTTCGACCAGCCATCTCTTTCTGCTTCAAACTCAGCTCTCAAGATTTCAATCTCTGATGGAACCACCTTAATGCGATCTTCCATAGAGATATCCTCATTTTGATCTGGTAGAGGAATATTTTCGTTTTTTATGACAGATCTCCAATCTTCATAATCAGGAGTTAGCATTTCTTTTGCTGCTTTAGCTCGATACAAAAGTTGTTTTCCAAGCTGTAACGGCTTCCATGATATTTCTTTTATAATTTTTGCTGTGAAATGCGAACTCAGATGACTGTAGTCCAGCAGTGACAGGTACAAATTGACGACCTTCATACTGTCTTATAACCAGCAGTGGTGCATATCCAATTCCTCCCCATAATCCGAGCAGCATTATCCAGTTGTAATCACCACACCTGTAAAAGAATTCCCTTTGTATTTGCCACGGGGCTCGCCAAACAACGTCATTGCTTTGCAGATTTCGAAAGGCATTAATCCACATATCTTTCTTAATTTCTTTAGGCCATTCCTGCTCTAGAAATTCTTTTAATGGTGAGTAATCCGTATTGAAGCGTCGGTATGAAACCTTTTCCGTCCTCCAGAAATGACTACGGATCCAAACATATAACAACTGGGTACACCCTGAGAATCGTCCACCTCCTAACCTTCTGCAAGCATTTAACGATCTGAAGGTCTCTGCTAGGATGGCAGAAACAGGATTAATCTTCTTCGGTAGCTGTTCAAACAAATCTACCACTGCAGCTTCAATATATCCCAAAACTTTTGGGAAGATGACCATACCATATATACCCAGAGCAAATAGATCGAATCGTACTTTAATATCTGGATGGCTCTGAATAAGTTCTCTGATGTTGGTCCAAGCAATGCCTTCGCTTTCGCCTTTTTGTTTCGTACGGGATGCTACCCATTCTTCTCGTACCCCGGCAATTTTTGCTAATTTAACTCGAAAGGGTTGAGTTTTAATTGACTTTGAATAGATTCGATTCTCCAAAGCCCCTTCAATATGTAGCAAAGTTGTGTATTCTTCAATAGTAGGGACCAAGTCTTCCTTATTGAGAGTGAAGCAATTGTACCCTGGATTCCAGAATTGAATTAGGGCTCTGAGTAATTCATCATCAACTTCAACATAGAGCAAATATGGGATGTCTCCGTAAGTCTGATAAAACTGCAATTTTTTGTTTGAATCCCAACTTTCCCAAATGCTTCGCAAATCCTGCATATCATTTCTTTTTAGTGAAACTGAAGCATAAATGGCCAAGTCAGATACATAATCATCCTGCAGACTGTCTCCTTCTTGTCTTTGTAAATCCTCAGCCCACTGTCTTACTTCTGAGTTTAGAATTACTTGATTTGAACACTTTTTATCCATAGATGAAGGCTTTCCAATGCGACAATTAACACAAGGATCAATGTCTTTTATCCTGTATGATGCAATGCAAACAGAAAAATAATGAACACACAAAAAGAAAATAAGTTAGTTTAAAGAATAATAACATTTACATAAATATTCTTTATTTAAACATGCTTTTCTGAATTTAAATAATTTAAATAAACATGTAACTTAAACAATAAATAAATTAACAGGAAAGACAGAATTCATTTCTCCTGTGTGTATACCTATTTTGGACAAAATTTCGGCATGACTTCGGATTGGAAGAGTTTCTAAGGTTTTTTATATGCAGGGTTTCAGATCTAGGAGTAAAGGTACTCGAATTGTCCATGTTAGTGCCCCCTTAGGCTGCTAACCCTCAATCCTAGTCCATTACAGACTAAAGTGGATCGAGTTCAATTCGAGGGGATACATTTCTCTATGCCTGACACGGAGAATAAATTCTCACGAAGACATAGAGCATATGAATCCCGAAAGTTACTTGCTAGGTCTGACACGGAGAATAAATTCTCACGAAGACGTTGCTTTCACTCCCACTTAAAAGGGACGAACTCAATTATAGAGCTTTATGTTATGCAATGCAAGTGTTGTGTGTGAGGAGAAATGTTCAAACTTTAGAAAAATAAATAATGAAATAAAATACTTGCAAAGAAAATAAAACATATAAATATTATAAAAATAATAAATAAAAAATTTGAAAAGAAAGAATTAAAAATTAAATATATGAATTTTTAATTTTTAACTAATAGAGACAATTTATAATTAATTTTTAAAAGTTTAACCAGAGATTCTGGGTTCGGTCCCCAGCGGAGTCGCCAAGCTGTCGTAACCGGCTTTCGTCCGGGCACGAAATATTATGTTTGGCGGGAAAAGTGATGTGAATAAATGGTTTTGAAAATAATTTGGGAGTCGCCATCGGCCTTTTGGGTCAGGTAGGTCGAATACCTAAAAAATATCTTTTAAAAGAGTTTTAAGAAAACATCAATTAAAAAAAAATTAACTGATCTGCGTTTATAACCAAAAATTCGTTCTTTTTAATAATAAAAAGGGATTCGTGGTCGATTACGTTTAGGGAAGGATTAGCACCCCTACAACGCCCAAAATTGGTACTTTTTAATTATAAATTGTCTCTTATTATTAAAATTTAAAAATTCAAAAATATATTTAATTTATAATCCTATTATTTTCAAAATTATATTTATTTAAAATATTTATTTATTTAAAAATATCAGAAAAGAACTTCTAGGTGCCTTAAGACAGCTCTTTTCTTTGATATTGATAAATATTAATTTAAATAATATTGTTTAATTTTAAAATACCAGAATAGGACATCCAGTTGTATTAAGACTGTCCTTTTCTTCGATGTTAAAAAATAAATATTAAAATTACTATTTATTATAAGTATATTTATGAATATATAAAATATTTATACAATATAAAAATAAAAATATCACTAAAACAATATATTTTAGGCAGTAAAATGAAAACATATAAATAACTAAATTATAATAAAAATAAAACTAAATCTAATTAAAATTATAGGGATTAAATATTTTATTTTCTAATTTAATAATTTAGTGACCAAAATGAAATTATCTAAAATTCAAATTTTATAATAAAATTAATTAAAAATATGAACTAGGGATAAAAAAATTTATTTATTAAAATTAAGGGATTAAATTTGTCATTTATCCTAAATATATTATTTTAATAAAAAGGACTAAAATGAATAAAATTAAAATTCAAAGACTGAATTAAAATTATTATAAATTCAGTTTAGTGACCAAAATGTAAAATTTACAAATACGAAGGACTGCGGACGGGGTTTAACTATTTCATAATTACGTGCATAGTCCTTCCCGAAACGACGTCGTTCGGGAAGGACTATAAGAGTCCAAAACCGGCTGGCCCGAAGGGCCAACCTTCATTTTCCATTTTCTTCTCTCTCTCTTCACTGAGAGAGTTTTAAACTCTCTGCCTTCTCTCTAGCTTCCCTCATCGGAGGGAAACCGGTTACCGGTCGGCCACCGTGGGCCGCCGTGAATATCACCGCCGGCCACCGCATCCGGTGGCCGGAAAAAATTATTTTTATACTAATAGATAGATCGGACCGTCCTAAGGACGGTCCCGGTGTTCTCTTCCTTTAAAAAGCTCCTAATCGGAGCGAATCTTACAAAAATACCTTCGATGTTTCGAAGGTTCTGACGAGATCCGGTGGTCGAGGCTTCCTCGGTAAGTCTCTTCTTCCTTTTTCTCTCTTTTTTTCTTCTGGTTCTTTGCTGCTGAGATCGTTGGTACTAGTTTGTTTTTTTTTCTTTCTCTGTCTTTTTCTTCTCCGTTCTCTGTCTCTGTTTTTTTTTTCTTTCGCAGATGGGTGGTGGCTTTTATAGCCACCACCGGTGTTCGTCTCAGACCGGTACGAAAGAAGTTCTTCGGTGAGTCACCGGACTTCCAGTGGTGACTCACCATTTTGGGCAAGACGTGTGCGGCTGGAGTGGGTGTGGCGGTGAAGGCTTCTGGAACCAACAACGGCGGCGCTGGGACGTGTCCCTAGGGTATAGATACCCTAGGGTTTCCTCTGGCAGATGGTGGACCGTTGGATCAAACCAGATCCAACGACTGGAATTGAAGATGGCGGCTGAGGATGATACAAATCCTAAATTGGGTTTAGGGTTTACTGTAGGATTTTGGGTCTGGGCCACTGTTTGTAATTGGGCTTCCATTCGGGCTTGTAATATTTATTTATATATGTATTTAATATATTTAATAATAATAATAATAATAATAATAATAACAATAATAATAATAATAATGATAATGATAATAATAATAATAATAATAATAATAATAAAATATTAGTATCTTCAAGTGCGAAGCTTTAAAACCGAGAAGAAAACGAAGAAAAAAATACTCGGTTTGTCCGATTTAAAGAAATTGGACCAAATTGTGAAGGCCCATTGGGTTTATTACACGACGGGTCACCTCGCAGGCGACGGGTCACCTCGCAGGCGGCAGTTTGAAGAGGGGTTGGTGGTGGTGGAACCCAGCCTTCTTCATCCATGGCCTGATGGCTCTGCTCTTCCTTCCAATTCGTCATTGAAATAAGCTTTTTCCGGTCCGAGACTGGCGCCAAAGGAATCTGAGAAGCAAAAAACAGTCAAATCCATGCCCACCCTTACAAAGCTTTATACCATGCAAGAAGCTTCCCAGCACAATACCAAAGACGATTGCTGGGTAGTTATTGATGACAAGGTTTTCCGGCCCCCCTTTTTTTTCTGATGATTTTTCTTTGGGTCTTAAAGTTTTTACAATTTGATCTGTTCTGTTCGTAATTTCATGGCTGATCTCGAATGGTAATTTCAAGTTGGGGGGTATCACTGTGTGCAAAGTTTAGGCCTTTTTTAGATAAAACTTGCAAGACCCAAGTTTTGGAATTTGATCACGTTGATGGTTTTTTGCTTGAAGGTGATGATTGTGGTTGTTGGATTTGGTATTTGTATTTTCCCAGAAACTGAACATCTTGTGCATTTATCATGTCTTGGATGAACATTATTTATTCAATATGCTCAATCTGTGATAAACCTTGTCTTGTGTCATCCATGGGTTCTTATTGATGGTGAACAAAGGTGAAGCCTTTGTTTCCCTCTTTTGCCTCCCGTTTCGATCGAGTCGTCGAATCGTGTGGTATTCTTGTGCTCATAGTGCCTAAAGAAGCTAGCTCGACCTTAATGAAACCGGAGTCTTGAACTCTTGATTGATCAATGTTCAACTAGCTTCAAGGGGTTGATTTACTAGTTTTAACAGCTAGGAAATGCAGGATGCAACTTGTCATCTTGTGCTATATGCATTCATTACTATGAATTTGCAATGATTCCAACAGTTTGGATCAATTCAGTTGTAGTCATGTTAAATTGCAGTCTATTTTCCTTTGGATCACCTGGAAATGTTGTTCGAAATGTCTTGTGCGAGTGAGACGAACTCAATTCCCTTAATTTGTCTCACGATACAAAACGAAGTGTCTTTCTCCTTTACAGGTATATGATGTTACTTCTTATTTGGACGAGCATCCAGGAGGTGATGATGTAGTGCTCGTAGCAACAGGTAATAATACCCGTCATGCGACCGGTCTTTTTCTTATCCTACTTAGGGAGCTGAGAGTGTTTAGATTATAAAATCAATCCCCTAAATGACATGCTTCCAATGAATTCCTTGAAGGGAAAGACGCAACGGATGATTTTGAAGATGCTGGGCACAGCGAAAGCGCAAAGGAGCTCATGCAGAGCTTTTGCATCGGTGAACTCGACACGTCCTCCTCCCCAGTCAGTCCAGAACTCAAAATTTCCACCAATAAGGAAACCACCGGGTACTCTCAGAAGCTCATGGACTTGACCAAGCAGTATTGGACTATCCCGGTCGCGATTGTTGGCATCTCCGTGGTGGTTGGGTTCTTATACATGTATAAGAAGTAAACCAGTACGATGTTTAACCCCCCCCCTATTGTCTACTGAACCAAATTTTGAATAATTAGATGATTGATCAAGAACATTTTACCCATTGTTATCCTTTTATTTTTGAAGTTTCGATTTTTAATGCCGGAAAATGTGTCGAACACGAGTATTTAATACGAATAATGATCGAGATATGTTTAGTACTTTCCATTATTTAATGATGGATGATTAGGAGTAGGTAAAGAAGCTAACCTCTTAATTTTAAACTGATGTCAAGATGCAGATTAGGTTTTTAAGTATTTTAATCTCAATCATCATCCATGCAATTATTAGTTGAATGCTTGAAGCTATCCAGATGATGTCAATGGCAAGTTTTTTAATCATATCTTAAAGCATTGTAAATCATGAACCTTTCAAACCCTACTTTAGATCAAATTATGCTCTGTCCCTGTTCCAAAATTATGGGGACTGGAAGCATAATTAACCCTTGGTTACGCAACATATGAAAATGCTTTTGCACTAATACCCCAACTTTTTATTTTCATCTCAGAAAGAAAAGAGATGAAAAAGAAAACAAAATGAACATATAACAGAACAGAAGGGAATAAATAGTAGGAAGTAATCGAGGACGACCGGTTGACGGGTTTGAAAACCCTACACTACGTACAAACATACACTTTCGCCACGAAACAAACTCGACCCTACTCGGAAAATCGGAGACTGTCCAGTTTCGATGCAGCTGGTTTGTCCAAAAACCATACCAACTTCCCTTTCGTTGGTTGGACTAACCGTGCAGGCACCGATGGGTTGTCGGGTCCGATGTTATCGATTGCCAAGTGCACAGCCTCTGCTTTGCTCTCACCTGTCACGACGATTGCAACGTTGGATGCTGAATTGATGACAGGCAAAGTGAATGTCATCCTCTCGGGAGGTGGTTTGGGGGAATCGGTGATGAACGTTACCCATTCGTCCTTCTCATCGAGCGCTGCATGATTAGGAAACAGAGAGGCAACGTGACCATCAGGGCCCATGCCAAGAAGGATAAGGTCAAACTTGGGGCAGTCGCTAATGTCGGAAACACTGACCATCCTCGTTTTAACGAGCTGCCGAATAACGAATGTGTATTCATCAGCAGCTTCCTCTGCTGAAACCGAATCATTGATAGAATGAACATGGCTGGGAACAATCGGCACCTGCGGCAAATATAAGGCATAAGCACACGTGCGCATACGTAATGTGGCATAAACTTAACAAAACAAACGGAAGCATAATTCTTCAATCAACCTATCCATTGATGAAAGCTTGCTGAATCATAGAAGTGTAAAATGGTGATACCACAACGGAAAACGTGGAAGGAAGCCCCTCTAAGCAATAGCAGAAAACGGTCTCATCTTCGACACAAATGTTTTAAGCAGCGATTCAATACAATTGTGATTTTCATCACTTAAAAGTGGTACTCGAACTTTTATCATATCCGATTCAAAAGAACATAGATCATACTTGATAACCACAACACAGTGAAGAATTCAACAAGCAAACATCGGAATCACTGAAAATAAGGAAACCTCGAACCCACTACTGAATTATCAGCTAGTGAAATATCAACTAATATACCAGTTAACACAAGCTTGTTATGAACAAGGCACACAACATCATAGATGAGGAATTCGATCTTAAAAACTTCTAGCACAGGCTAATAATTCAAGATCCGAAGTTCGAACCGATCAAGTCACTGAATAATGAAGGAACAAATCCATCCTTGTGCATTATCTAACCAGGGAAATCCAGGAACAGAAAAACACCAAATTTACCAGCATCACAACAAGCATCATATTCTTGTCAAAAGTTCCCTTCATTTGGTTCTCGAAAAGAAAGAACTACGAAACCATATGCAAACCTTGGAAAGAAGGCCATCCTTTGCAAGCTTATAATTGCTATCTGAGTGGCTTTTCACAACGACGCGTTCATCCGCCCAAAATATATACCATTTACCCCAGTCTACAGTCTTGTTATAAGGAGCTTCACAGAGTTTACTGCATCAACACACACCAAACAAAAAGAAAAGTTTAAAGACACCAAAAATCACAAAAACAAAACATCGAAAAGTAATGGATCAATACCCCATTAAGCCGATGAGAGAACCCCAGACAATGCAATAGCAAAGACACCCCTCTCTTTCACTGCAGCCTCTGACAGCTCGGCAATATAGTCAGCCAAATCAGTCCTTAGCTCATCCAAATTCTCAAGAATCCTCAGTTCTCCTCTATTATTTTTAACCCCAGATATTGCCATGCTTTTGACAATTTTACCAACTCTAACATGAAAAAAAAAGGGTACCAAAAGTCACAATTAAGCACATAATAGGGCCAAGAACACACAAATTAATGAACAATGAAGAGAAAATGTAGCCATTAATCCTCGTAGGCTCGTAGCTCAAAGTCATTATCAGATCATGGTAAACAGTCAACAGAATCTATGATTCAAAAGTAAAAAAGGAAAACCCAATAACACAGTTTAAGATTCATTAAACATAACCCAAAAACAACAAAGTGATACACAGCCAAAAGCAAATCACTCTATGCATGGAGTTTAAGAACTAGAAATTGAAGAAATGATCATCACAATCAGAGATCGAGCAAAAACCAAAACTTTAGCTGATTTGATGTGTCCCAACTCCCAAGCAGATGAATTTCATAGTAAAATCAGTTATACTAAGATATAAAAAGGAAAAAAATGATAAAAAAGGCTGAAAATTTAAGAAAGGGAAATGCTTACAAAGAAGAACAAGCTAGAAAGGGAAGAAAGGAAGGGTGGTTGCAGAGAAGCAAGAAGGAAGAAGGTAGAGGGGTAATCAACAACAAATGAAACAATAATTATATAATAATAATAATAATAACACAAAAAACATATATATAAATAAAAAGCTGTTACAGAGAAGAAGCTGAGAATTTACCTTCTGGGTTTCCACGTGTGCAACCAATGATATTCAAGGAAAACACACACACATACACAAAATACTAATAAATTGTTTCTTTCTTTCTCTCTCTCTCTCTCTCTCAATTAAAAAGCAATTTCCTCAAAAATAAACAAACCCAGAATTTAAATTTGTTTTCTTTATCTATATCTCTTAGTTTATCCTTATTTTCTATCTGTGTGAAGGAGATGAAGCAGAGAAGATCTATGTTTCCTAAATACTCTGTCATTATCACATTAATTGACGCCTGGGTTTTAGTTAATGTTAACAAACTGATATTAAATTAATTAAATTTTTTATTAATTTTGGACCCCGTTTTTGGAAAAGAAAAACAACAGAGCCCCAAAGATCTAACCGAACACTTGTCCAACTCAGATGCTGACAAATGTACCCGTGGGACTTTTTGTCTTGTAAGAATAAAATAATTTTTTTATTATTATTTATTTTACTTTGAGGGGGTGATTGGATCATGGAATGTAAGATTCCTGGTGGGTATTTTTTTTTCTAGATTCAAAATCCCATGTTTGGATGGGAAATATTCCCACTAGGAAGGAATAATATATTCCAAACAGTAAAAAAAATTATCCGTTTATCAGGAATGTTATTCCCATGCTTTTCTTAGGTATTCTTTTATTCCCTGTTCTATGGGCTAAAATACCCTCTTTTCCCGTTTACCTCCGCTTCTTCTCCCAAGCGTTCTTTGTTCTTGATTTTGATTTCACAATCTTATCTCCAATCCAATCTCTTTGATTTTCCACCGTTAATTCTTCCATTCTTGTATCTTCCACGATTCCAAGCTCTCTCTCTTATCTTCTCTTAAATCCCATATTTTCCCCAGATTTTTTTCTTTTCTTTTCCTCCCCTCTTTTCTCAGGAAAGAACGAGAAAGGAAACTTGTTTAAGGTATACCCAGATCTTGTTCACTTCTTGCTTCAGTTTTTATCGTTTTCACAAGTTTGTAAACTGTAGGTTTCTCTTGATTTTCTGAATATCCTCTGTTCTATTACTTGGGTGTTTGTTTCTCAGGAAAAAAAGAGAGAACCTTTTTACTTCTTGGGGTCCAGTTTTTCATCATTGTCTCAAGGTTTTGAACAATGGGTTCCTCTTGAATTTCTGAAACAAGGGGAAATATTTGGTCTGGAAGAGTGATTTCAATCAAAAGATCCAAGCTTTAGTGAAAGAAAAAGAAAATGAAAATCTAGTGTGATGTTTGTGAAAGAGCACAAGCAACAGTGATATGTTGTGCAGATGAGGCTGCACTTTGTGCTAAATGTGACATTGAAGTTCATGCAGCTAACAAGCTTGCAAGCAAGCACCAAAGGCTTCTCCTTCAGTGCCTTTCCAACAAGCTTCCTCCTTGTGATATTTGCCAGGTTCAGAATTTCGCTTTTTCTGGTTTATTTCATGAATTTTTTGTAATCTTATTTATCACTAGCGTTACGAAATCCGAACATAGTAATAGTATAAGAAATTAATCACGTCGTACTATGGATTTGAATCCTCTTAATACATGCTGAGTTTGAATGTTCTAACATAGACTGTGAATCTTGTGCATATATGTCATACAGGACAAAGCAGTTTTCATCTTTTGTGTTGAAGATAGAGCCCTTTTCTACCGTGATTGCGACGAACAGATCCATCCTGTCGGTAGCCTTGCCGCGAACCACCAAAGGTTCCTCGCCACCGAAATCTGAGTCGCCTTGAGTTCGAGTTGCAATAAAAAGACTGAAAACAATGTGTTGGAGCCACCCAACAAGAGTGCACCTCAGACTTCAATGAAAACGCCGCAACATCAGCACTCAAGCTTTGCTTCCCAATGGGCTGTTGATGATCTGTTAGAACTCTCGGACATTCAATCTCTAAACAAGGTGAGAAACTATTATTAATCCAACACTACGATTCGAGTTCGATTGAATTTTATTCGTCTTCCAATAATTTTTTTGTTCCTTGTTTTGTTGCAGAAAGAGCAGTTTGAGCTTGGAGAGCTTGAATGGCTGGCAGACATTGGTCTTTTCGGTGATCAATTGCCTCAGGAGGCTTTAGCACATACCGACCTACCCATGCCTCTTAAGAAGCCTAGAATCGAGATCCCAGACGATGACGACGAGTACTTCATGGTCCCTGATCTAGGATGAGGTTGTATGTGATGTGATCAAACTATATAGTTTCATATGTACGCATAGCATCTCGTCTTGCTTTCCGATTATGTTGCCTTCGTTTTCTTTATAGGAACAAGTTTTCGATGCGCTTTCGAACATGAACATACATATATGATCTTCAAGTTCATGGGAAATCATACTGCAATTTCATATAGATTTGGCTTGATCAATTCTAGAAGAGTTGTTTTTGAGGTGAATAAGATACTATTTGTTCAAAATCTTTTTAGCCTATTAATATATATATACGTTTTACAGAAATTGTTTGGAACCCGAATCTTTTAGGAAGAATAATAGTCTTTTATACTACTGATGTTACTCAACATATTAATGAAAGTTATAGTTGTGTTTCAATCCCATTAAGGAGAATAATATTCTCTTTTACTATTGGATTTACATGTAAATTCCCGTTGAGTGACTCATATACCAAAATTAGATGTGCGACGTGAGTCGGTCCGGTTTAGTCGGGAAGAAGACTTGGAACCTGAAGACAACAAAAAAGAATTAAAAAAAATTAAATAAATAATTTGAACCATGGACAAATCTAGTGACAGCTCCATGCTTGTTTCACCAAATTACAAAATTTTTGTATAATATTTTTGTTGATAGAAAGTAGGTTGAAAGGAGTAAAGATCAAATTTTGTGCCTTAGATAAAGAAACCAGTTCACTATCTTTCTACTTGATGTTCAGCGTCTTTACTTTATTATCATCGTGTAAATTATACCATCTAAATGTAACTGTTTATACCTTATGCCCCCTAACTTACGTTACCATCAAATAAAATCTTCAAAGAAACGGATTCGATCTCATCCTCTTCTTCGAATTCCGTTGTCGTTGCAATGGTTTTAGCTTCAGTGTTCGCACTTGTTCATTTGATAAGGTTGAGGTCGGACACCAGAGCTCTTCAAGCGTTGAGACGTTCTATTGACCCCAACATGATTCCACCGTCGTCGTACATCAGTTCGTGGGATTTCTCGGTGGATCACTGTTTCGTTTCCTGAGATGAAGAAAACTTCTATAGCTCTAAGCCATATTTGTTTTGTATGCAAGATTTACACATGATCCATTGAGACAGCAGAAAAAGCAATGTTTTATTTTATTTAAGCATTGCAAAAAAAATAATGAATTTTAAAGCACAATGAGAAGACAACAACATTTTATTAAAATATTAACAAATATAATGATGAATGACGGTGAAATATAAAAATTATAGATAATATGATTTTTAGTGTTATATTTTCTTACTTATTTGAATTATGTTTTTGTAATATAAATTAATGAGATAAATAATAATGATAAAGTATGCATAATTAAGTATAAATATAAAAGATAAATAAATAAATTATTGTATATAGAAGATATAATAAATATTATATATTAGATAACAAAAATAATTTACATCTTTTTATTATTATGAATATCTATGAAGAATTTCCACAATGTAAACATTTAGTTAAATGTTGATGTAAAATTTTAATATATTTTTACATAAATTATGTAAAAATTAATATTAATTAAAATTAAAATAATACATGATATATTTAAATACTCAAGTAATATATTATCAACAAATAGAATTTTTATATAAATAATTTTTATTTAAATATTTAGAATTTCACTTGTTAAAAAACAAATATAAAACAAGGACAATTTGGTAAAATATACATTCCAGTAATCTTTTATTCCTCCAACCAAACACTGTAATCTTACATTCCTGCCAAACCAACCAAACACAGTAATGTAACATTCCCAGTAATCCTATTCCCTGGTAATCTTTTATTCCCACTGGTAATCTTACATTCCGTGAACCAAACACACCCTGAAGGTCTCTGCATTTAAAAAAAAATTAATGTAATCATTGTATTATTTTCTCTCTCAATGTGACGTTCTAACTTAATATAATCATATGATCAACATAATTTTATGGTTGACCTTTATGGTATTGACATGACAGTTCATAAGACTAAAATGAAAATCTAAAGTGACAGATCAACGTAGCGGATGACATTACAGATTGATTAAATCGGTAACATGGGCGGAACATAACGAGGGCTAAGCTTGACCCCGCTAATTATTTTTTAAAGTATTAATTAATATTAAATATATATATATATATATATAACTTTTAGAAAATAAAAAAATCACCGAACCCCATAAATTAAATAATTTTTTATTTATGAAAAATAAAAAATATTTTAACTCCACTATAATAAATTTCTAATTATGCCCCTGAATTCAAACATGATAGATAGACTATTACGTTAGTACCGTGAACTGATACATTAGTACTGTAACGGTCAACTATGGTAAAAAAAAATCTATAAAACTAGCTTCTTTACCCTTTCATATATATATATATATATATATATATGTGTGTGTGTGAATTTAATATTATAAAATATGTTAAGTTTTCTGTGTATGAAGATTTTGGTGCTTCCCAACACCCCAACATTGCTCTCCAGATTATATTTGATAATTACTAAATCCATTTATTGCTAAATTATTGTATCAATTTAAAGAAAATATTGGAATAAACCAGACTTATTATACATGCAAAATAACTGATGCTTGCTAAAGCAAAAACATTTAATAAAATTTAATATATTACATTCCCTCACCCTTTGTTTAATTATTTTGTTCAATGAAGTGCACTTACCAAAGCTAATTTGGTGCAATATCCTTTTCAACCATATCGACATTCATTTTCCCTTTCAATATTTTTCTTATTTTTTGCAATTTAAATATATTGACCGAAAAGAGATAATTGTATTATTTTAGTCCGTAAACATTTCAAAAAAAAGGTAAATTATGTGGATAGTCTTTATATTTAGGGTCTGACCGACTTTGGTCACCAATTTAAAAATTAAAGGGAAATAGTTTCTAACGTTATCGATCCGTTCGATTTTAGTTCCTCAACCATTAATTTTCGTTAACCCCTTTTGTTTAAGTCCCTAACATGGTTGAAGGACTAAAATCAAACAGGAGTTAACGACTAAGGTACTAAAATCGATAATGTTATGGACTAACCCTTAATTTTAAAATTGATGACCAAAGTCACTCATACCAAAAACATAGGGGAATATTTGCATAATTTATGCTTCAAAAAATAATAAAAAATAAAAATAAATATTTAAGTTGTCTAAGTTCAATTCATGGTTAGTTTTGGCGATTTTCTTGTGCAAATTAACTTTGACTTTGAGACTTCATATACGTCGTGGATTATCAAATAATAATCCAATATATATAATAGTTTTAAAAAAATGAATTAGAAACCAACAAAATAGAAGTCTAAGAAAAATTACGGCTGGAAAATGCAAAGAATTCATGGCGTGCAGGGTTCTAAGTTGGACATGTAATCCTTTCCCTACTACTTTTTACAACTATTTTAATTAGATATGTAATCCTTTTCAATATTCATATCTAGACGGTTTACTCGAACACGATACAAAAATAAGTCGGACATGAATGTGTTCGGTTTCCCCCTAAGTTTTTCGATTGCTGAAAGATTCTTATAGGATCCATATCTCTAAACCTATGTTGAACCCGAAGAAAACCGAAAACCGAAACAACATTAGTTCATGCCCATAGTACAAAGAAAGTGTTCATACCTTCTGAGTTTCAGTCCCTTTTTTGTTCACTGTTTGAGGTACATCATTGTCATCTTATGCTTGTCGAAAGGCAGTCTTAATCTCCAATCCCTCTGTTTCCGGCTTAATGGTCTACCCTTGCTGTCGGGGTCCCGGTTCTCCTTCACATCTGCCAGCTTCCATACACAGACCTCTTGCTCGATCGAATCTAGTAAGAAGACCCCGCTCTTTTCTGTATGATTAAACTCCGCGTCTTCGATATAACAAACTCTCATTGTCATGTGTTTGAACCGGTCTAAATCATCCGGTACCTTAAGTAGTCTCTCTGCACCAGGAGATGATACCTGCAAGACCAAAGTCCAAACATCCATTTTAGATGATAAATATAATCCTACTTAACCAAGGCGAATTCATGCACAGATAGTAGAAGCCGTATCCGAGACTCGGCACGTAAGAACTAGCCACTTATTACCTCAAGACCCAAATCATCTGGTATTTCTCTTCGCTCTCCAGCTTCATCTAATCTTTTCTTATATTCTTGACTATAGCTCTGCAGTTCCTCCATGCTGGGACAACCATATCTGATGAAAGAAATATTTGTCTTTTAACATCATAAACCCTAGTGATTCAACTTCCATGTGCCAAGTTACATATATTATGGTCACACATACACATCGAAATATTATCCATCAAGCACAAAAAAATAAATCATAATTACTGAAATCCAGCAAATGGTTAACATGGGACACCAATTCTCACAGAACTGTTCCAACTAAAAACAACTCAAATGTATACATACATACATATATATACATACATACATATATATATATATATATATATATATATATATAATTTTAAATTCTTAAAATCATTCACTAAAGATGCTAAGGAAGAATACTCACTCATGTGACAATTTGTCAAGCCTGACATAAATGTATCCACGAGGTGAAGTCTTGAAAGCATAAAGTTTGAAGTCATCGCTAAACAGCTTTAGTACATCATGGGCAATAGACAAAACAGATTCACCCCAAGGAACACCTTGCAATACAACTCCACCACCATCCCCTCCATCACCAAGCTACATTAATAAGAAAAACAACTCGTTACCAAAAGCAAGGTACCCTGTATAGCTTCAAACAAAAAAACTAAGAAACTACTAGAGGAATTCGAGTAGTTAATTAAAAACAAAGCATTGCAATGGTCCCGTGATTCTCACAGCAATGTGATTTCTGCTCATGAAACTAAGAAACTAGAAATGATGTATACCTTGGGCTCGACGTCATCATCCTCTTCTTCCCACCCATCTGTGTTTTCTCCATCATCTTTATCTGTTTCATCTGCAAACTCCAAGAAATTGAAAAAAATAACCTGTTACTGACACGGGACTTTTATCGAACACTTGGAATGCACAGAAGAAACAACACTAAATAAACATACAAAAATCCGGGTCCTCTTCTTCTTCTTCTTCTTCTTCCCGGTGATCGTTTTTATTATGGACGGAGGTCGTGCCGTGTAACAGACGGCGAGTGAAAGAAGAAGCGAAAGAGAAAATGGGGTTCAGTCCAAGAGAAGAAGCAACAGCAAAACGAGAAGAAGGATTAAGGGAAGTGGGGAGAGGTAAAGGAGAGAGTCTGGCAGTAGAGGAAGATGAAGCAACGAAGACCAAAGGAGGCCTTCGAGAGCTTCGTAACAGAGACCGGAATATAATTCCGCCATTGGTCATTGTTCTGATTTACTTTTGCCGTCTCCCTCTTCGGCTGCTTCTTACTGCATAAACCGACCTTCACCAGCTATTATTGGCTCCACTAATAACTCGACTCTCTAATAAAAAAAATTAACGGTCTGAAGTCTGAACTGAATGTAAATTTGTTATTTGAAATATAAAATATAAAATTAACGATTATCATATTTTAGAAAATATATCAACATTTAGATTAGGTTGTAGTTATTTTTTAACAGAAAAAGACGAATTTAAAACATAATTAATAGTCAAATGACTATTTTGTAACATTTAATAATTAAGAGACTCGACAAAGCAACATCCAATAGTTTGGAGATCATTTTGTAACTTTTAATGGTCGAATGACTTAACAAAACAGTGTCCTATAATCGAATGATCATCTATGTACTTACCCTTTAATTTAATATAGTAAAACACCTTAAGTAACTTCAATAATAAAAATAGTATAACTCTACCTAGAGGTTTCCAATTTGAATAGTTGTGTGTACTAAACTATGTGTAAAATATTAAAGGGTAAATTATATGTTTAATATCTAAACTATTAGTTTTGGTTTATTTTAATACCTAAACTTTAAATTTTTCAAAATCACACCTAAAGATTAGTTTTTGTTTTATTTTAGTACCCGTTCAAAATTTAATATTCAGTTTTGAAAAAAAAAATGAAAGTTTAAGTACTAAAGTGGACCAAAACTAATAGTTTAGGTACTAAACAGAGATACTAAAATGAAACGAAAACTAAATGTGTAGTTTATCCAATACAAAATTGGGGTATGTACTGAACTGTTGATTTTGGGCTTTTACACGTTAAAGCCCAATTGTTTTATAAGCAGACTCGGTGTCCAACACGCTATTAACTGCACATGATAGGCCCTAAAACGTATACATCTGTATATTAATTTATGGAGAACAAAAAGGGTTAATTTCACTATACAGGTCTGAAATATGGTATAAAATTATAAATCAATCCATTAGTTTGAAGCATTTCAATCGAATCTTACAGCTAATTTGTTGTTTCAATCAGGATTTTTTTTTCAAAAAGAACTGAAGCTACATCAGTATTTATATTAAATACTGATTTAAGAGCACGTTGTTCAAATTTGACAAAAATACATTTAAAACGAAAGATGAAATAAAGAAATAAAAGACTTAATTTTTTTTTTTAAAATTGATAAAATCTTAATTTAAAAATGACAAAGAGGTCTATGTACTTTTGAAGAAAAAAATGTGGTTTCGTATTATTTTTTCTCTCAATGTGACCATCTAAATCAAAAAACAAACTCAAGGGACTTGAAAAAGTAACGTCCAATAGTCAGAAGACCATTTTATAACTTTTAATAATCAAGAGACTTAATTAAATAACATTCTATAATTAGAGACCATTTGTGTACTTTACCCTTAATTTTTTATTATATAATAATTAATAATATATTAAAATATTAATGTTTAAACAGATTAATTTATAATAAATCATGAAAAGTATTTTTGTCAATTTAAAATTTTCTCTAAATATGTACTTTTATTTAGTGATAAAAAAGAGGTTGTACGAAGTAATTGTTTTTGTTACGTTCTCGTTTCTAATGTTTTACTTTAACTAATTTAGACCGACCCACGTCGCACATTTAATTTTGATGGATGAGTCTTTCAACATATATTTTCTGCATACACAATGATTCAAATCGACTTCTACATAACTCATAACCCTACTCTAGTGTCAAATTCATTTTTATATAGGAAGGAAAATCGACATAACTACGCATAATAATATAGGAAATATAGCAATGTTTTTTCATAAACTAAGGGTGCTCTGCAAATGAGATGTTTTGTGCATCTAAACTAGAGGAACTCATTGATTGAATCAACAAAACAACAAAGGCATGTTTTCATCGCATTTATGTTGGAACATTATACGAAAACTGCACCATCATCATCCACAACAATTTACTGCTTCACCCCAAAAATCAACAAACAGTACTCACATTATCAAAGATATTAATCATTATCAATGCACAATCTCATTTACTACCTCCTTGGACCCCACCGAAAAGGTAGTCCAGAGAAGATCCACCTCCGGGGCAGAATGAACCTTGGTGGAAGGTCGATCCTGCATCCATGAAAAACACGTATTAGCATAGGATCTCGATGACAAATAACCGTTCCGTATGCTTAAAATCTTAAAGGACTTGTAAAGCAATCATAATTAGGGCCTAGGGGATATATACCGTAACGAAATTGCCAGTGTTCTGACCGTCAGAACGCATGTAATTGTTTGTGGACGAACTGTTATTAATACCAGCAGGAACCTGCTTGGTGACATCTACTGATTCAGGAGCAGAGGCAGGTTTGGGGACGGCCGGTGCTTCGGCCGGAGCGGCTCGGGAGTTGTTTGTAGCTGGTTTCGGAGCTTCTCCACTCCCAAACAGATAGCCCAATGAACTCTGCCCACCACCACTGCTAACTCCACGACCCATCTTTTCTAACTTACTAGGACATACAGGGAGGAGACAAACAGCACAAAGTAAAGAGTCTAAAGACCACTAAGTTAGACAAAAGGTAGGGAGACATAAGCCATTGGAGCAGATGAAGATGGTATGAATATAAATCAATTGATATTATACAGCTACACTCAAAGAAATTCCCCAATGCTCAGCCATTAAGGATAACACCACTACACATTGTGAGATCCTGTAAACATTTGTTCCATTACAACTTCGATTTCGAGTTTAACACACTACACTCGAAACCGAGCCAATTCGATGCACGAAGCACAATTGAATCATATGTCGCAGCTAATTTGAAAAGTCCTTCAACAAATCACAGCACGAAAGTTAAAAATCCTAAACATCTAGGCGTGTTCCGATTGTGCATCGAACAAACAAAAAGATTATCATAAATTCCTTACTCAAATCAAAACAAGACACCTCTTTTTATTCCACATTTCATTATCGTATGAAATTTATCATATAATTACTCTCTAAAGATAAAGTAAAGGCAAGTAACTTATATTTTCACAGAATTTCCAGTACTTCAGCTCCTAAAAAAAGATCCAGTAATATGCTTGCAGCAGCATCGACGCAGTTAAACAAATCAGAAGAAAGCAAACGTCACAATCCAGAACCTCTTAACTTTCTATTGCACAGCCAAAACAACAAAATTCAAACAAATCAACGAGACGTAAAACTGAACAGCAAAAGCGAAAAACATCAAATCATATCAAGAAATTGATGGTTGAACTCACTGAGTACAAAACTAAACCTTACAAACGCGAAGGAGAATAAGAAGAGATCTTGGGCTAGGGTTTTGAAATTACCTGAAAATGCCTTTGGAGATCAGATCTGGAGAAAAGAGAGTGGAAACAACAGCCGAGAGTGACAGCAACAGCTTACTGAAGAAGGACAACGAGATGCGAGCGTTTTTATATCTAAGGACTGAAAATATAGTTTTTCCAAAAAAATAATACTAATAAACTAATAATATTAAGGGTAAACTACTTGAATGATCATCTAACTACGGGATTACTGTCAATATAACCACTATTTTTAAAATTTCACCAATATGACCACTTAACTATTTAATTGACTTCAATATAACCACTTGCCGTTAATATTTGAATCAAGTGTTGATGTGACAATTAATAAAATTGATTTAATTATATATTTGATCATCAATAATTACAAATTCTATCAATTTAGTCTTAATTTTAATTTAATTCAAAAAATTATCCATCCAACCAAGATATGTCATGTGTTAACTGATTATATATATATATATGTATGTATATATGAAATCTAATTTATTATTAGATTTGTTTTAATGATTTTTATGTCATGATTAAAACAAATAAATAAAATATTATACAATATAAAGTCAAATGTTGGGTTAGTCTGGCAGAGGCATGCCCACCCACGCTTGAAGTCCTTGGTTTAATGCCCTGGATAGCAAATGTCTCTTCTTATTTGATTTTTTCTTTAAATTGATGATGACGCATTTCAATAGATTGACACATGAAACTTTGGATTATTGATTTTTTGAATTAAATTAAAACAAAGACTAAATTGATAGAATATGTAATTGTTGAGAATCAAATGTATAATTATATCAATTTTATTTATTGGCATGTCAATACTTTTGTTAAATATTAACAACAAGTGATTATATTGAAGTTAATTAAATAATTAAGTGGTCGTATTAATGAAATTTTAAAAATGGTGGTCATACTGATACCAACCCCATGGTTAGATTGTTGTTCAAGTAATTTTACCCTAATTTTAAATTTTTAAATGAAATGTTATCAGTTCACTGCAAGTTTGGCTAATTCGTTTCCACTACTTTCTTTAAGGTTAATTGCGCTATGCACCCCAGAACTTTACTTTATATTTTAAATTGATCTTTTTAAGTTCAAAACATTTTAATAAAAAGTTTTCATGAATAAAAATATGTTACTAAAACAGTACAAACTAGTTATATAAATATATGTCATCAGCATTGATTTTATGTAACCACTGCTTCATATGGAGTTTGCTCATTTTGCACGAATAGATATCTGCCAGTAACTAGTAACATGACACCCAGAACACCGATTTTAATCGGAAATGTCCGGCTCGGTGAACTTCTACTTTTTCGTCCGACAGCGGCAGGGGATGACATTAAGCCTTGGTTCTTCAGAAATGATGAATAAGATTCAATTTCATCTCTTGTTAATGCTGGTCTTAGGGACTTCGCTGCTTCGAAATGCTGATTGCCGACTGTGGTAGCAGATATGTTTTCCCTCAGAGCTACTATTGCGGCTTCCCGACACAAACACTCCAATTCGGCTCCAGTGAACAGCTCTGTATCTTCTGCTATTATTCTCAGATCAACGTCATCCCCGATTTTCATGTTGCGTGTATGTACGCTGAGGATCTCGTACCGAGCTTCCAAATCGGGTGGTGGTACATAGAGCACCTACATTGTTCGTGATTATAGATATTAGAAAGTGAGCTTAGGTGTTTTCTAATGCCTGACACATAACTAGAACCTTCGGAATATCTAGC